GGCTGGCTAGCATGTGGTGCTGGGGGATTGAACCACGGTCCCTGTGTTTTGCTTAGCTTAGCTTGTTCTAAGTAGGTACTTTAGACCACTGAGCCATCTCACCAGCCCCTGAGTTAGGGGTTTGATAAACAAAGATATACTGTGGGTAGGCAGCAGCCATGATGAGAGATAAAGCCCCCTGGACTGGGCAGTGGGACACCCTGGCTTGAGGGTCACCTTGGGCAGGTGGACACCACCAGTTTAGCTTGGAGGATGCCTCCCTCCAGCCCCACAGGAACATACAAACGATGGTGCCATTGTTTCCTGGTGGCCGCTGCTGTGACCTACAACAGCTCTAGGACGGGGCAATGTTAGTGCTTCAGTCTGGGCAGATCTGGGGTACAGGCCAAAACTGTTATGTTGGTGGGCCACAGAGGCAAGTCAGGAACATTCCAGAGGGCATCCTGAGCAGAGGTGGGAGAGCTGGCTGCAGACAGCTTTCTCTATAAGGAGGAACAGTCGTTGTGTGTGGTTTGGGTTCTCAAGCTGGGACAGGCAAGGAAGTTGAGCTTTGCTGCAATAGAGGAGTGATCGCTTCTCGGCCTTTTGGCTAAGATCAAGTGCAATAGAGGAGTGAGCCTGCCGTCTGGGGCAGAGGTCTTTTGGGGCCTGGAAGGCCCCTCCCATGGCCCTGTCAGAGATGACAGTCTGAGGAATGTCATGGCCACACCATTGACCCTCAGAGAATGCCCGCTGCATGTGGATATCAGATCTCCAAGCTAGGCCCAGGGTGAGGAAATGGATCCAACCAGAAAAGAAAGCAAACAGTGGAGAAAGCCCATGTCAGAGCAGTGGAGGCAGAGGGAGGTTGGAAGGCCCTGATATGGACATGGGTTTTGGAGGGGAGGAGCCAAATGTAGCCTCTTGGCGGAGGTTCCCTCAGCATGTGCCTAGAGCTCCAGAACAGAACTTTGCCCTTTACTGGCTGTTAGGACATGTCCCCACCAGGGCCCTGGACCATAGCAGGCACAGCCTCCTGTACAGTGCTGACCAGCTGCAGCCCTCACACATCCTTTGGTTTTCTTTTCTTTTTTTTTTTTTTTGCAGAACCAGGGATTGAACTCAGGCCCTTGTGCTTGCCAGGCAAGTGCTTATTCTGAGCCATCTCCCCAGCCCACATCCTTTGGTTTTCACAAGAGTCCCCCAGGCATAGGGCAGGCCATGTCTGCACCCATGGTACAGAGGAAAGCCTGTCTTTGAGAAGCCAGGCTGTTGGTGCCCTGAGCCTGGACTCCCCCACTTAGTGCACTGAACTGCTTGACTGCCAGCTGAGACTCCCTGGTGTGCTGGGGTTGCACGCACTTTGGCACACATGACCCTGTGTAACTTTCCTTCATGAGATCTAGGTGATTTTCTGTTACGCAGATGAGAGAGCTGTCCTGGTTTTCAGATGAGATGTGGGAAGGAGCTGAGGCCGTGGATATGGAGTGGTCTACAGCCCTGGTCTGGTGAGCTGGGCTTCTCCTGCCCAGCCAAGCCTGGCTCCCTGCTGGATGACCCCTGATTCTTGTGACCTCAGCTCTGTGAGCCCACTGTCCTAGTTGTGTGTAAGCTGAGCCCAGGCCTTTGAGGCAGCCTCTGTCTGCTCCTTGGCTGCTCTTCTAGCAGCTTATGCTTGTTCCCCTAGCCTAGGTCATGAAGCACTGCAGCTCTCAGTGTCTCCCTGCTGCAGCAGGGGACTGGTGGCCTCCCTCGTGCCCACCTCACACAGACAGGCCCCCTGCAACACTGGGGAATTGTTCCCTTCTCAGCAGCCCCATGTCCTTTCTCAAGAATGGCCTGGGGGTCTGGGGTAGCTGCTGGGAGCTCACACCCTATGCTTGCTCCTAGGTGATGGCTCTCTGCACCTACCCAAACCTGCTGGACAGCCCCAGCTTCCCAGAAGATGCTAAGAAACGTGCTCGGCGGATTCTGCAGGCTTGTGGTGGGAACAGCCTAGGTGAGGTCCACCTTGCAGGTTCCCCAGGGCTTGGAATGACTGCATGTTGCCAGCGTGGGCCTGGGCCCTTTCCCCAAATGAAGAGCTGTGTGCAGGATAAGCATGCTAATGTTTGTGGGGTGGAGTGCAGAAAAGTAGTGTTTCTCTTCTCATCCATGCTGTTTAGCTTGTTTACTAACTTGCTGGTATAGATGCCATCTTATAGTAGATTGGGACACTTAGATGCATGGGGCTGCACACTCCCCACTCCTGGGTCTGGCTTTACACCTGGGAGCTGGCTGTGTCTTTGTGTAGTAACCAAGTGACGGGCTTTGGTGGTGGGAAAGGGATGGAGGGCAGTGCAACCCCAGCCACAGAGATGTCCCCTATCATCTGGGAAGTGACTGCCAAGTACTGGGGGCAGGAAATGCCCTGAGCTCACCCCTGGGCCTTCCTGTGGCTTTCTTCAGTCTGAGTGTGCCCTTTACCTACCTGCCTCTCTGTGTTCCTCTCACCCTGCCTCTCCTCCCCACCGCAGCTGTCTGCCTCCCTGAAGGCTCCATGGAAGGAGATCCTGGAATTTGGCCCCTGTAGATGGGAAAATGATAAACCCAACCCCCGCTGAGATGGATTTCTAGCCCCTAGGCCTCTGGCCTTTCGTTCTTATCCCATTTTCTTTCTTCTGTTTGTTCTTTCCCCATTCCTTGTTCATTATCTGCTGGGGAATCTGGCTTCCCTCACTCAGAAGAAACTGTTCTAGAGCTCTTTTAGGACATGTATCCTTTTTTTTTTTTTGCGGAACCGGGGATTGCACTCGGGCCCTTGCACTTGCCAGGGAAGTGCTTATTCCACTGAGCCATCTCCCTGGCTCCTAGGACATGTATCTTAATGTTCTGAAATGTGGAGCTTTAAGTTAGGGGCTTCTGTGACTCTGCATGGGGATCAGCTTCCCTGCCTCTCCTATCCTGTCTTGCTCTGTCCCCTTTTTTGAGATTCTGCTCACTTTCCTGGCTATGGTCCCTACCAGCCCTTGCTTCCCTGCCTTGGATGAGGCATGACATAGAGTTCCCTTTTTTCTGCCCTCTCTGCCCAGCTCGGGGAACAGGGAGCTTCTATAGACCCCATGGCCATGGTCCCGAGGCTCCTGGAAGCCTGGTGAAGAGGTTGCGTCTGCCTCTGATGTGACCTCTAGGGGGCAGGGGAGGGGACCCGTGATCTACTGTTCAACTGTGTCAGCCAGAGTTGGGGAGGGGTTGGTAGGCCGTGCCCATTAGGTTCCCTTCTTGGAGTGTTACAGCAAGAGACCAGTTGACCTTTAAGGTTTTCATGACCCTGGATTCTGTGGTAAATGTTCACGAACAAGGTGTGAAGTGTACACACGCACCTGCTGCCCAACTCTCGAGCAAGGAAGGACTTGTCCCGACCTTTGAGCTTGCCCGGAATTTTGACGTGTGTACTGAGCCCCTTGAGAATGGAGAAGCCCCACTTCTGTGGGGGCACCATGCAGGGGATAGGCACTGTGGTCCTTGCTGTGACAGGAACATGGGAGTGTCATTCTGTGTTAACTAAGTCTTGGGCAGCCTGAACACTTTCCTCTATATAGAAATACAAGGAAATGGAACCCATCACTATGTTCCAGGGCCACCCTGACCCATATGGGAATTACTCAATATGTACACAAAAAGTCTTGAAGCTCACCCAGGATGTTTTTATCATGTCCTTTGAAATAATTTCTTTCTTTCTTTCTTGTTTTAAATTTTATTTTATTTATGTGTGTGTGTGGCCAGCTCAGCCCACCAGGGGGCAGCTGGCTGGCATGTGGTGCTGGGGGATTGAACCATGGTCCCTGTGCTTTGCTAAGCTTGTTCTAAGTAGGTACTTTAGACCACTGAGCCATCTTACCAGCCCCAAAATAATTTCTTCCTAGGGCTTTATTTATTGTTGATCTGACAAGTAATTCAGTTCCTTTTATTTTCTTTTCTGTATTTAGGACAGGGTCTACAGACTCATAGTGATTCTCCTGTTTTCAGCCTCCCAAGCGCTGGGAGTACAGGCATGTCCCACCATGCCCAGTCTTAATCGCTGTCTCAGCGCACCCCATGGACGTGGCCAGAACGGCAGGCCAGGGATCGAACCCTGGCCCTGTGCTCTGCCTAAGCAGGCACTTTAGTCCGCTGAGCTATCAGGCTGACCCTTTTAAGTAATTCAGTTCTTAAGCGGTATCCTGGATCTTTAATAGGATTGAGGTCAAGATGTAGCATACTAGCTGGGCATAATGGTGTATGCTTGTGATTCCAGCACTCAAGGAGACTGAGGCAGAAGGAGCACTGTGAGTTCAAGGCCAGCCTAGGCTACAAAGTGAGCTTAAGGCCAGCCTGCACTCCATAGTGAAACCCTTTCTCAAAAGACCAGAACAATAGAAAGCCCCAGCACATTGCCTAGGTGTGGTAGGATCTTTGTGCTCTGGCCTGCCCCTCCCTGAGCATACACCATGAACCGGTGCTATCCAGAAACAGAAGGACAGTGGTGAACAAGGCAGGTGGAGTTGCTGTGCTGGTGAAGCTACTATTACATTGAGAGAAACAAACATGAAAGACAGTTCGAATAAATATGTAATGCCCAGCTTTTGTTCACTTACTGGAGAAGGGACAGAGGACTGTTAGGAATACATCAAGGGATCTGAAGGTCAGGAGTTTAAATGGAGAGAGCATTGGCACTCGTGTGGAGGACAGTCATGTACAGATAGATGCACCCCGTGCTGAGGGCACCATGAATGCCAGGGCCCTCAGGTTTGAAAACTGGGTGTGATTCAGTGATGTGGCCTGGACTTGGCAGGATTCAGTGCAGCTGGGAGTTCAGCAGTAGTGATGGAGCCAGTTTGGCTTTCACTCAGGGCAGTGGGCCCTAAGTAGGGGTGTGATGGGCTTAGGTCTATTGTCTGCTAGGTGCTCTATGAGAGATATATTTAAAAAAATAGATAAGGGATTGAGGATATAGCTTAGTTGCTCAGTGGCACAGTGCCTACCTGGCAAGTACATGGTCCAGAGTTTTGATTCCCAATATAAAAAAAAAAGAAAAGAAAAAAGAAAAGGAAAAAAAGTTCTTCCTTGGGGGGCATACAGCCAAAATGGGAAGACAGGGGTTCTTATATATAAAATAGAGAAATTCCAACCCAGGGGAAAGGCCATGAATGAAGCAGAATCTTTTTTTTTTTTTGGAACCAGGGATTGAACTCAGGCCCTTGCACTTGCCAGGGAAGCGCTTATTCCACTGAGCCATCTCCCTGGCCCCGAGCAGAATCTTTAGGCACAACTCTTGGAGACAGACTGAAAGTGAGCTGGAAGGACCAAGGACCAGCATAGTGTAGTTTGGAGCAACAGAAAATCTACAGGCCAAAGGAAAATCTCTGGAGCCCTCTCAAAAGGGTGGGAGACCTAAAGCAGGGAGCTGGCTGGTGTCAACAGCCTCAGGACCTATGGAAGCAGCAGGACTGAGGGCCAGGAAGCAGGAGGCACCCAACTGGTGTGGCCTGGCCGGACCAACAGGGTGGAAGGCCTAGTGAGAAGGCAAAGGGAGGAGCCTGGAAGATCTCAGAGTGCAGGAGCTCCAGGGTGTCAGTGAATTACCTAGTTGGGGAGGAGTTCTTCCAACAGTGTCTGCATACATATACCCTTTTCTTTTGTAGAATACTTGAGATTTAGTAGGATACCCAGTCATGTAACAAAAGTCCCTGTACTCACCAGTCAGAGGAGATATACATGTATGTTTGTGACTTGGCATCTTAGTATCAATGTAGCCCCTGATTTCACAGCTGTTCAGATGGAAAGGGCTGAGTTCCAGCTGCACAGTGAGGCTAAGGCAGAGCCAGAACGGGCCCCTTCTACTGCAGAGTGCTTCAGTGGGTGCCAGGCCTGGAACGCATGAACTGAGGCTCCAGAGAAGAATCTGCTGCTTCTGGAATGCCCTTCTGCCTTCTAGTGATAGTTTTGCAGTAGTCATACATACAGTAAATAGGCTGATTTCTTTTAAATGTGAAATTCAAAAGGGGTGTATATGTATAATAAAAAATCTACCTCCCACTTCTGACCCCAGCATCCTGATTACTTAGAGAAGTCAGCTCTAGCTGAGTCTCTTTTCAGGGAGTTTTTGTATATGTGCAAATTAATTATTTCCAATTTAAAATATTTCCATTTAAAAACATAGTGGCCTGGCGTTTTAAGACACTGTTGTACTGAGGTTGTGGCTCAGTGGTAGAGTGCCTATTCAGTGATGTGAACCTTTTAGAGCTCTTAGTGTTATAAACAGCCTGCTGCAGCATGCTTGTGCTACCGTTGGCCTAGTGTGTGTGAGCCTGGGTTCAGTCCCAGCACTGCAAACAAAACAAAACTGTTACGGATCTATTAGCAAGCATACAGAAAAATGTACCAGTGTTAATGTACAGGCTGAATAGTTGAGTAATTTTTTACATAGACATGCCCCTCTAAAACCTCACCAGATGGAGCACCTCGGAAGACCCCTGGGTGCTCCTGTCCAGCCAGTTCATCTGTCCCTCAAGAAGTTACCACTGTCCTTACTTTCACTGCCATCAGTTATGGTTTTCTCTGGTTTTAAATTTCACATAAACAGCAGCGTGACTTATAATCCTAAATGGCAGCAGTCTAAGCATATCCTTGGCATGGGGTGGTACAGAGGAGCAGGACCAACAGCCCCAGGAATCTGTGGTTGATGCTGGTTGGTATTACTCCAACCTCTCAAGTTCTATGCAGCTGTTTTCAGGCAACTGAATAAAAGCATAGCAATCCCTAATCTATATCCCAGGAGTTCTGGTAGGACAGGTATGGGCAGCACTTTATCGGTTAGAAGCCAGGGTCTAGAATATGATAGATACAGAGTAAATATTAGGTGGGTGAGTATGTGGAAACAGCAGTCGGGAAGATGAAGCCCAGAGAGGTTGTTAAGCAGGTTCCTACAATTCTAGGGCCCAGAGCATTGGGAGTTGCTCCCCCCCGGTTAGTTGTACAGATATTACCCTGGTGCTGTAGAGCATCCTGTCACTACTTTCTGTCTTGCCTGCTATCTTACAGGGTCATACAGTGCCAGCCAAGGAGTCAACTGCATCCGTGAAGATGTGGCTGCCTACATCACCAGGAGAGATGGCGGTGTGCCTGCAGACCCAGACAACATTTATCTGACCACTGGGGCTAGTGATGGCATTACCGTATGTGTGAGGGGGGCTGGTGCCTACTCAGTGTGATCTCACCTGAAGGACAGCCTTGCCTGCCAGGGCTGGTGCCAGAGTGACAAGTCCCTCTGTCACTCTGTCCTGGAAGGATGCAGGCCTCTTCTGGTCTTCCAGACCCTGGACATCACAGCAGCCTCCTCAATCTCCCTGCAGACCCCACCAGTAGTTTTAATTGTGGAGGAAGCCTTGGCACGCCGCAAGTGCCCGATGACCTTTCTGTCACTCAGCACATCCTGCTGTGCCCCTCTGCCAGGCTCCATGCCTGGTGCTGGGGAGCCAAGCACATCATTTGGCTTCTGACTTCATATCAGCTTTGCCATCCCATTAAAAAAAGTTACAGCACCAGTTTTTAGTTTCTCTTCTGCAGTGCAAAGGACAAAGGGCCAGAGAAGGGACAGCAGAGACACTGAGCCAGTACAGTAGTGTCAGGCAGGCAAAAAGGAAGATGGAAGAGAGTTGGGAGCATTGGTGTGTGGCCCGGAGCTGGGGGAGGCTGCTGCTAGGCAGTGGAGTCACTCTGGGGGGAAACACAATGTCATAAGTGGGGCCAGAGAGGTGGTGACTTCAAGGCTTAGAGCCATGAAGTCAGAGGGGCACATAGTCAGCTAACACTCCTCAGCCTTGTCTCTGGCTGGTCAAGTTCACAGGTGGGAGGGTGCACTCAGAAGGCAAGAGAAGAGGTGCTATGGGCTCCATTATCCACGGATGAGGAGGGACTGGTGTTGACAACCACTTGGAAAAGTCCAGAATCCTGTGCTTAGGGCTCGCAGCCTTTTTGAGGTGAGGAGGTTGGAGTCTGGGGCCTCCCAGTGTTAGGTGAGCACTGTCCTCCATCCCTCCAAGGCCTCCCTCCAGGGCCTGGCTAATGCCAGGTATAGTCAGGGGAGAGGTTTGCCATCTTCCAGGTCTTTGTTACTGGGGCTGTGCTTGTCTCCTAGCTCTAGAGGTCCCTTGTTTTTGATGTTTTCTGAGTGCTCTATTCTTTTCCCAAAATGTTTTAAATCATTAAATTCTTACTGGAGCCCTTAAGGGAACAGGCCCAGAGACATTAGGTGGTGCCTGCTTTGAGTCAGTTCTTGCAACATTTGGGGTTTGATATTACAACTTCAGTCCCCAGCCTCTGCACCTCCCACTGCTTTGTGCTGTCAAGGCCCCCTCTGTTCCCAGAGAGGCCCAGTCAGTGCTGGCAGAAGTCCTGAAGGGAGGGTGTGTCCAGAAGACTCAGTAGAGGAACCCAGTCATTGCACTTTTCAGTCATACTTGGAGCAAGGAACAGCTCCCGAGAAGGGATCGGCACTGCATTAGGTGGAGACTCCCTGTGAGGCCATTGGCTTGGTCATTCAGTGAATTACTGCTGACTCTGTTCACCAACACCCTGCTGGTTTCTGTAGCCTGGCTTCTCAGGAACCCTACAAACATGCACCCTGCTCAGCCTTGCAAACAGGTTGAAGTGCCATCTGGTGGCAGTGGGTGGGTATTTCATCCCGTTTCAGCTGTCCAAGGGTCTTTCTAGCCATTGGCAACTGATGCCTATGGTAAAATAGATTAGATTGTAAATCTGGGTCTCATGAATGGGTCATAATAATTCTGAGATGGGGCTGAGTAGGGGATAAATGTATTTTAAGTATTAAAAATGTTAGCAAGGCTGGGCATGGTGGCACAAACCTCTAATCCCAGCTACTCCTGAGACTGATGCAGGAAGATCAAGATAAAGGCTAGGATGGGCAATTTATTGAGAACCTGTGTCCAAAAAAAAAAAGACTGCAAATGTAGTTCAGCCATGAAGCTTTGGGTTCAATCTGCAGTACCCCAAAATAACTAAAAAGGGACTGGGATTATAGCTCAATATTGCCTGCATTCAATCCCCAGCACCACAGAACAAAACAAAAACCTACAAATTGAGTCTATGTATATTCCCTGGACAGCACACTGTGCTGAGACCTTGACAACATTCCGTTGTGCTTACTCCTTCCAGCAGCTGTGGTTCTGTGGGTGAGGGCATGGCGTCTTGGGAAGTGAGGCGGCTGGTTTGGGTGACACTGGCAGGAGGGTCAGGGTGAAACACTAGGGCTGGGGCCAACAGACTTAGCTGCTCATCAGTTTCTAAAGAGTGGGGACTGGCTGGGACCTTCTGACTGTGACTTCTGGTTACAGACAATCCTGAAGATCCTCGTCTCTGGGGGTGGCAAGTCGCGGACCGGTGTGATGATTCCCATCCCACAGTATCCCCTCTACTCGGCAGTCATCTCAGAGCTTGGTGCCATCCAGGTGAATTACTACCTGGACGAGGAGAACTGCTGGGCCTTGAATGTGAATGAGCTCCGGCGGGCTGTGCAAGAGGCCAAAGACCACTGTGACCCCAAGGTGCTCTGCATCATCAACCCGGGGAACCCCACAGGTCTGCATTTCCCTTGCTCACGCATGTCTTTGGAGGTGGAGTATTTGACATTCAGGACTAAGGAGTTAATCATGGTGGGGCCTCTCTACCCAGTTTCCACACCAGTTCCAAATTTGCTAACAGAGCTCTGAGATCAGGTGGCAGCAAAGGCAGCATTTTGTTGACAGGGTTCTGTTAAAGACCAGTTTTCCCTTCCCATTTTTGCATCTGGCTACTCAGCTTCTTGAGGTTATTCAAGCACAAACTCTCACCACTGATCCTAGATCTTATTTTCACTCCCACTTAGTTTCCTGAACCAGTTTTCCGAATGCTGATATGTGCTTTTTTTTTTTTTTTTAAATGACACAACATTGCTGTGTACCTTGAGTCCTGAGAAGGAAATGCCATATTGAGAACAGCAAACCAGGAAACAAAAACCCTGTTTCCAGAAATTGAAAGGCAGTCCCAGTTTTGCATATTTTTCTTTTCAAAAAATGCACAGTCTTGCCTGTTTTGAGCTTTCTGGGCTGCTGGCTTCCTATGCCCCCGTGCTATTTGGATGTAGAGAACAAGGGCTTCTCTCTCCTCCTTTGTTGAGATAAATTGAGTCTGGGCCAAAGTGTGTTGGAGTTGATTGTGGAATCTGCTTCTCGGGAACATCAAATGATGCTTCAGTCAGCTGAAAGCACCACTTGAATGCCTCAGAGCAGAAAATGGGTGCAGCTGGCAGTGATGCGGGCTTATTTACTGCAGTGCTGGGGGGGGGTGTGTGGATGAAGAGGCTAACTAACCAGGATGCAGCAGGAAAACGACGGAGAATGGGACCCCAGTCCAGTTGTAAATTAAGAGATACGAAAAAAACCTGAAAGGCCATCTCATACCTCAGACTCAGGATGAGGCACAGGCATCAGTAGTTGGTGCAGCTGATGAAAACTGCATCCTTACCCCAGTGGTTCTCAAACTTTCAGCTTGTTAACATGATATTTTGGGCCCCACTTACAGCTATTCTGATGTAATTGGACCTGATAGGGCTTAATGACTGCATTTTTTTTTTCTTAATGCTTAGTGCAGGGTCTCACTACACAGATTGGACTCATAGCAATCCTTCTGTTTTGAGCCTTCCATTACAGTGGCGCGCCACCACACCCAGTCTCAATCACTGCCACCTCACCTCGCCCCTGGGGGTGGGGCCAGCACAGCAGGTCCCTGTGTCTGCCAAAGCAGGCACATTAATCTGCTGAGCTCTCTGGCTGGCCTAGGACTGCATTTTTTTTTTTTTTTTTAGGTCTGCATTTTTAGTAAGCTTTCAGTGATACTTTTTTGCCTGTCCCATCCCAGGACCACATTTGCTAGTCCAGCAACATGTTAGGAAGGATGTTTACCTTATCTACTTGAGTTAGCACTTTTCTTGGCTGGGTGTTTGCATAAATCTTTTCACCTAGCTGTCTGGAAAGAAATAACTGCACCAGAGACTCCCTGTTCTAAGTGAAAGGGTCATTAATTCATTAATTAATTCATTCATTCTGTTGCCCTGAGCTTGCTTCATAGGAATTAATGTAGGTAATTTGTATAAAGAATAACTTTTTCAGTGGAAAGAATCTGGATTTTCTCTTCGGATCTTAACATATGAAAATTGGTCAACTTTAGAAGAGGAGCAGTGGAACCTGAGGACCCACCTGTGTAGATCATGTATCTTGTCCAGACGACACTGTGACCAGTTTGGCTAAAAAGGTGTCAGACGCGCACTGGGGTATTAAGCCAGGGCTCTTTGGTTTCAAGGTAGAAACTCAGCTTGAGGCTTGGGAGGTTGTATCATTGTTCTATAAAGTCCAGCCAGGGGTCAAAGCAGTGCACTTGAACCAGAAGATCCTTAGTGTGTTTCTCAGCTGTGCTGTCTTCTGTGCTGGGTTCCTTCTCCGGAAGGATCTGTCCTCAGGATCTGACCTTCGTTGGCTCCAGCCGGTACCCACCTGCTCAGCCTGGGGGAGGGGAGGAATATTCCAAAGGTTGATCAGAAGTCCCAGGGCAGACTCTCAAAGGCCTATGCTGGGTCCCCTGCCTGTACCTGAACCAGTCAAGCCAGGACTGATGGGCCAGGTCTGTGTCAGTGCCCCCTGTCAGAGTTCTCCATAGCACAGCTGTGACATGTTATTCACAAAAGGAAAGGATGCTCCATGGGCACAAACCACACATAATCCCACCAGGTCATGACGAATTCCTTTGGTCCAGACTAATGATAGGTATTTAGAAGCCATCTCCCGCTTTCGAGGGCCTGTATCAAACCCAAGTCTGCTGTCTCCTGGCCCCTTTAAATCAACATGTGACTTCCCCTTCTTCTCTCCCATTGTTGATGTGTTTGTCCCTTTCAGTAGCTCAGCAGGTGTGCTCTAAGAGATTGTTGTCCCCTGGCACTAGAGGCTGTAAGCTCTGTTCTTTTCATATGCATCAGTGGAATCATTTGCATCCATTGGATGTCATTTCCTCTACCAGGCTGAGGGCTTTTTGAGGCTTTGGCCCTCCCTCAGTTTCTTGCCTTACCCTTATCAGTAGTGGACATGTTTTTGCACGTTCTAGTGTTCATGCTTGTATCCTAAAACGATACAGAGGTGAGAAGACAGGTGTGAGAGGACAAGGCCAGGAGGACTTGCAGGCAGATTCTGCCCTCAAGATGGCAGGCTCCTGCCTATCTACGAGAACAATACTGGCTTTTAAAAACCAAGGTCTGCCACCCTCTTGGATTCTGTTGCACTGAGCTTGCTTCATAGGAAGCCTATTTGGTAGGAGAATCGCTTAACTGAGTTAAGCCAGCCAGAGTGGCATGTGTCTGTAATTGTACCACTCTGGAAAGCTTAAGGCAGAAGGACTGCAAGTTTGAGTCCCATCTAGGAAACTTCACAAAACCCTAACACAAAATGAAAACTAAAAAGAGTTATAGTTCAGTGCAAAGGACCTAGGTTTGATCCCCAGTACTGCAACAAAGTGAGCAAGAGAGAGAAATCAGTTCTTTGCTTAGATAATTCAAGACAAATCTTGGCTGAACCGTACCATGCTTTTACAAGATACGTGACTATATTTTTCCAGATACTTTTTGTTACATAGACAAGAATATAGGCATTTTTATTTTTTACAAATGCCATAATATTTTGTGTACTGCCTTGTATAAAATACAAATATGCACATAAAGGCACGTGTACATAAAGTCAGATTTCCACCACACATACTCATATGCATAGAGTAAAGAAACATGGCTTTTTAAAATAAATCATCAAGCCCAGTCATTGTCATGGTTTTGTGGAGGACATTGTGATTACATCAGATATTCCTGAGATTCTAAGACATACTTTATGCATGTCTCAGAAAATATTGGGAGAAGGCTGCATCTCCACTTTGTTACCTTTGTTCCTTCCCCAGCCTATACCAGGACATTTCCTATGAGCTGCCAGGGGTAGTACCTTGCTGTGTACACTCATTTCTATAAAATGGTTGGTGGATGTTTTCTTTGTTGCCGTGCAGTCCTGAAGGAGGGCAACTAAGCTAAGGAAAACTGCAAGGTTCCTATCGCGATGGTCTTCAGCTGTGCCTAGCTCTCCAGAAGGAGCTGATAGGAGGTACCAGGCTGTTGCCTGCAATCTCTCATTTAGTGGTGCTCTGCAAATATTTATTGAACACCTGCTGAGTGTCAGCTTTGAGGGTAGATGGTGAGCCAGGAGGCTGTCCCTGCTTCTTGGGGATTATGTGTTCCTCTCTAGGGAGGTATTCGCACAACACCCCCAGTTTTGCTCCGGTAACTCATCCAGTTGCCATGTCAGCCATGCACTTCTCCCCTTCAGTCACTGCTGGCACATAGTGAGGTGGGGTGGAGTGAGCTAATACTTAACTCCTTGAGTTTCATTTTCCTCTTCATGACACTTCCATGCCTTCCTATCCTCCAGAACAGACAGGCCAATGTCCCACTCATACATCCTCCACTCAAGGATAACAAGAAAGTAGAGTGTGAACACTACTCCCCCACTTCCCTGGCCTCCAAGAGTCAGCAAGAGGAGACTGACCCTCCAGATGTCCTGGAGGCTCACTGCACCATTGGGCATTGCAGCTGGTTGTAGTGTGGTCTCGTGGGATCTTAAGGGAACACAGGACACCCGAGTGATTCTGGGTGGGATTCTGACCGGGGATCAGTTTAAACAACATTACAACCTACATTTTGGTTTTCTTGGGGATTTTGTAGGCCAGGTACAAAGCAGAAAGTGCATAGAAGATGTGATTCACTTTGCCTGGGAAGAGAAGCTCTTTCTCCTGGCTGATGAGGTAAGAGTAGTCCCAGCCCCCCAGAGAGGGCAGAGGTGAGCTGTCTTTTATAGGGGAGGGATCCAGGCCTGGTTGTTCCATAGCCAGAGAGTTCTTTCTTCAAGGTACTGGAGAAGTGATTCTGTCTAAGGATGGATCTGATCAGTCGAACTGCCTATGAATCTCTGACCTGATTTGTTCTTGTCTTGGTTTGGACTCATAACGTTAGAAATTAAACCCAAATAACTTTAAACTTGAAAAGAAAAAAAAAAAAGGTTGATATGCAGCTACATTGGTGGCTCAGGCCATATCTTCCAAATCCTCTTTCCCTTTTCCATCCATCCATGTTGTCCTCTCACATAGGCCTGTTGTCTTCCGAGCCTTGAAAGAGGGTTTTTCCCAACACTAATCATCTATCAGAAGTCTCACAGTTGTATCTCATTGGTTCAGCTTGAGTCTCAGCCCTGTGGCTGTGGCCTACAAGCTACAGTATGCAAATTGGGTGTGGGCTTCCAGCCTTTTTTCCCCCAAACCTCCAGAAGGACAACTGGGAGGGCATTTCTTGAGAATAGGTTGAGGGATTCAACCAAGGAAGGGAGGCTGGGTGCCAGTATGGTGGCACCAACTGATGTCTGCTCCCCACAGAGTTGTAGTTCTGTGCCTTTTCTAAGTCCGTATATCCTGTCTCATCTAATTCTGACAACCCATGAGACAGGGATCTTAACCCCATATCTGTTGCCTTTTGAGCTCCACTTCTGAGATTGAGGCCTGCTTATACTTTTTTTGCTTTGTAGGGAAGAAATTGGAAACCATCAAATTTCACTTTCATTTCATCTTCATTTCTGCAAGGTTTCTGGTTAGTTGTAGCTTCTAGAATACTACTGTATTTTTATTTCTTTGCTCTGTAGCAATCCCTGATGACCAGCACACATACACATAGCTTATTCATCAATTTGTTCTATAAGAATATATGGACCTGAAATCTTCATTCCTAAAGGAAGGAGCAACAGAGACCCATAGTTCTTGTGACTTGTCCCCAGGGTCTAGGAAGAAGGGTAGGAGTAGGACAATGCCTGGCCTGTCACAGGTGGAGCCTGGCTGATTCTGGGGGCTCAGAAAGCTACCCAATCTTTAAAACAGGTGTGGAAAGTTACCTCAGGATAGAGTAGGGTGCTTGCGGCTGTGAATGGCCAGATCTGAGGACAGAAGAACTAAATGGATGTGGACACCACTGTGGCACTGAAAAGTAGAGAGCACCTGTACACTCTCCTCCAGTTGTGCCCTGAGCCACACAGCAGCACCTGCCTGGAATAGGCCTCTTGGAAGTTCTTGCAGTGATGTCCCCATCCCTTCTCCCTGCAGGTGTACCAGGATAATGTGTACTCTCCAGACTGCAGATTCCACTCCTTTAAGAAGGTGCTTTATGAGATGGGACCCGAGTATTCCAGCAATGTGGAACTTGCCTCCTTCCACTCTACCTCCAAGGGCTACATGGGCGAGTGAGTATGTCAGCCTCCGCCTCCCTTCCACTGTCCCCTGGGCCTGCTCCTCTGCCCCACAGTCCACCCACTCAGATGGAGAAGAGGTGTCCCTCACCCACTGCTGCTGCTGTCTAGGAGTCAGAAGGGGGTAAACTTAGTGAAGGGAGAACTGTCATAAAATAAGGCCATGCTGAAAGAAACCAGACTGTAGGTAAATGACAGAAAAGAAAACAAGGTCCCCTAGCAGCTTCCAGCACTGAGTATTTTGAGCCACCCTGTCACTGTTGCTCTGCCACTAATTAAAAGCTGTGTGGCCAGGAGAGCAGGGTGCGTGCAGAAGTGCCATGAGGCTGCCTTAGCACCAGTTGACCTTGGGGGCCAAAGGGTCAGCTTCCACTCTGTATTTGCTCACTTGGCTAATATTTACTGAGCACTGACTGACCTAAGCTCTGAGGATACAATGATCAAACTACACCGGTCCCTGTCTGCCCTCACAGGCCTGTGTTCTAGTGAGACTGGCAGCAACAGACAGAAAAGTCCTGTGACAGGGAAAGGCCAGGTATTTCAGTTACTTTTCTATTGTTGCTGGGACAAAATACCTAACATTCAAATTTAAGTTAAGAAAGGTTTATTTAACTCACAGTTAGTGGTGGTTTCAGTCCACACTCAGCTGGCTCAAGGCAGAGCGACCCATGGCAGAGGGCAACAGTTCATTGCAAGAGAAAACAGAACAGAGCAAATGGAGGAGGAGCAGCTTTGGCAGCTAGCAAGCCTCTCCCCTCTCCTTATATTTGTATGCAGATTATCTGCCCCAGGGCAGGGGTAGCACTCACACCCATAATCCCAATTTTGGATCCAGAATTAATCACAAACTCTAGTAGAAGTCACCCCTTGACTGCAAGAGGCTTTGCAGGGGCAACTAGACACAAACCATAAAACACAAGGGATGGGTAGGAGAGCCAGGTGGGTCAGGCTCACTGGCTTAAGAGTTAGGTAGTACAGACTCTGAGGAGCTGCTCTTAGGCCCAAACCCATAGGAGGGGAGGGAGGAGGGTATTCAGGAGGGAGCGCTCCAGGCAGAAAGAACAGCTTGTGTAAAGGCCCAGAGCTGCTTCTGCCAGTGTACATGGCATAGTGGAGAGCAGCGAAAGGGCTGGAGAGCACTGAAGAGGGAGAAAGTGGCAGAAGGTGAGACCAAAGTCGTAGGGGACCCAAGCACCTGGGCTACTGTAGTTACCTTTGACTTTTACTTATGGGATGAAGGACGGAAGGATTTAACAGAGGTACAGCTCCTCCAGTGATACCTTTTACTGGACTCCTGGTTCCCAAGCAATGGAGAGTAGGCAGGAGTGGAAGCTCAAGTTAGGAGGCTGCTGTCACCCCCAGGAAGGGTATCGTGGACCAGAGTAGAAATGGAGAAGAGATCTAGAATGTGTTTGAAGATGGAGTTGACAGGAATTGCTGATGGAAAAGGTGAGTGTGAGAAAGAAGAGTCAAAGATGAACCCTAAGTTTTTCACAAAAAGCAGGAAGGATAGCATTGCCTGCAAAAGATGGGGAAGAGTGGGAGTTTGGCTTTAGAGGTGTTAAATTTTGCAAATGCTCAGTTGCTTTCCAGATAGAGATGATCACGTGAGTCTGGACACTAGGACTGACATTTGTCAGTGTATAGATTCTCAGCCTGCACATCTCACAGAGGGGGAAGAGAGGTCTGAGGGCAGCTGGGACTGGCACCACAGGTCAGGTTGAGAGGAGAGGAAGAACCAAGAAGAGCTGGTTAGTTTGCTGCTATGGGCATCTCTTGGGTGCCAGGCATTGGCATGGGGTGGGTTCTCACTTGGCTGGCTGGAGAGCACTGGAAGGACTATCTTAGCCAGGGCAAGGGAGCTCCCTTTGACCTTGTCTGATGTGGGCAGGGGTTATTTATACTTACCTTTCTGGTCTACCTGGGTAACAGTGCTGCCTCATTACCAGACTTTCAAGTACTCTGTAGATCTTTTTCTAAACAAATTGGTTTTCTGCTCATTTTTCAGATACAGGTGTGTTTTATCACATACCCATCCATCTCTCCCCCTCTCATTATTGATTACTTTTAAACAGACAGTCTGCTGGGTGCTGGTGCCCTGAGTTATGCCCCATTGTTCTCAGATCCTAGTTACCTAGGATTACAGGCTGTGTGTGATTTCATTTCTGCTCATCACAGAGGATTAAATACAGTGATGATGAACCTGCGAGAGCCCTGTCGCCCAGCGTTGCCCTGCAGGGTTAATTGTAGTGTTGGCACTTTGCAATAAAGTGGGTTTGGGGTTGCAGTTTGGGCACTTGTCTCTAAGAGGTTCTCCATCACTGTGATAGAATGTTCTTCCTTTCAACACTTGTTGAGGGAAACCTTTCTGAGATGCTGGAGTTTACCTGCCTGCCTCAGAAATTCCAGTCCAGGGATCTGATCAGAATGATCCTGCACTTCTCATCCCATCAGGTGCTGGAGTGGGGGGGACAAAATACCTAACATTCAAATTTAAGTTAA